AAAAAAATGGAAACGAAGTCTATGTAAATAGGGAAGGGTGGAGGGGGTGAGGGACGCACAGGTAATGGGGGAAAAAATAAGAACCAAGAGTCATCATGTACAGGTATAAGCACCCAATGATAAATGTAAACATATTGTATACCTAAAATGTACCAATAAAAGAATTTAAGATAAAAAAACACAGGATTCAAAATTACATAAGTAGTATGGTAATTACTATTTGAAAGTATATGCATAAAAATATTAATAGCATGGCTTATGTTATTTTTTCCATCAATGCCTGCTGGATTGGCTTCAGGGAGTTTGGCGGATTTTGTTTTCCAATACTGGATATCAAACTCAGGACCTTGAGCTTGCCAGGCAGGTATGGCAGTTTGGCATTTTGAGAGGCAGTTTGTTGCCTTGTCTTCTTATGTTTCTATTGTTTGGTTTGGTTTGTTGCATGCTGAGGTCTGTGACCACTTACAGTATAAAGACCTTGTTGCTGGTACAGAGATCTTAGTCGCTTTTTAGTGATGTACTTTGGGTGTGGCTAACTGTAATCCTTTGCCTCAGTCCCAAGATCTGACCACCTTGCTTAATTTGGGAGGACAGGATGCAGTGTAATTAGTCAAACACTGAGTTCTCTGGGAATGTATTGTTAATATCACAAAGATAATCTAAGTGTAGGCTTACAGAGAAATAGCAACAATTATGCAGCCCTGGTAATATCAAGCAAATCAGCTACAGTAGTATCATCCAGGACAAACTGGTTATCAAAATACCGTAAGAACCAATTATATACCATGCCCAACCCTGGAGAAGAAATCCATAATTATGGTGTAAACATTAAGACAACCTAGGTACTGATTTACAGCTAATATGTATTAAATACAACAGCTACATCTCTGCCAATGATGAAAAATAGAGTTTTTATTAGAGTTAACTGTCAAATGATTAATAAAGCTTTATGGTTATACTATTAAAGATATAGGGTTTGGGGATAGAGGATTGCAAGAGGAAAAACTTGAAACCTTAAACTGCATGATATGAGGAAGAGAGAGAAGTGGTACAAAGGTTCCTACTGGGGAATACAAGGATGTTTATAGAATTAGGTAAAGGTAAGAGAAAAAAGTGATGAGAGACAGATGATGAAAGAAAAAGAGGGAGAAAAAAATTATATGGGGTGTAAAAACAAGAGAAAAATGCAAGGGAGAAAAATTAAAAGGGAGAAAGGGAAAAATAAAAGAAAAGAGAAAAAGATAAGCAGCAAGGAAGGACAAAGGAATAATTCTCAAACCGCAATAAAGCAGTGAAGAAAGGAATTAAGAAAAAAGAAAAAGCAAAACACTTGCAAAAACAAGCAAAAAACAGAAAAAAACCAAACCAAAACAAAAGAGATAAATTTTTCTGTGATTTTGAATGTGTGGTTTTCTTCTGGGATCTACAATTCTGGGAAAATGTCAGGCTTACACTGGTAGATGAAGAAGGCAGCCAGACCCCAGATCCATGCTGGATGAAGGTACCAGCAGGTAGTAGGACGAGGAGGGAATGCCACAACTTTAAATCCAGAGCAATTCTGGCTGAGTTTGGGGTCTGGCCATGGGTGCAGGGCCTGTGTTCAAACCCCACCAGGGGTCTCTTTCCAGCTGACTGCAGTTCCCCAAGCACCGCTGTCTCCTACCCAGTCTCTGTAGAAAAGTATCATTAGGACCCCTGAAGTGAGGCTGGCAGTGACTCTGAGTTCCACGGAGCTCAAACAATCAACCCTTCCCCAGAGTGTTGTCTGACCAAGCATTCTCCCCAGGGAAACGGTAGGTGTTTGGGCTAGAGTCACTCACCAGCTGATGCCAATTGAAGGACTCACATGGGAGCAGAATCCCATGCTTTCCCTGCTGCTCACAACATCCAGTCTGTTCCACGGCTGTGTTCCTCCCTGAAGCCCTTTGGAGTCCCCAGCTTTCACTTTGTAGACTTGGTCTCCCTTTCCCATGCGCCACGAGCCAGAAGTTGGGGAGAAAGTGCAGACTGACGCTTCCCTTCTCTATGTTGTGTTTAGTCTCTTTGACTTCTCTGTAGGTTTTAATTTTCCCATGATATCCTTCCTGTTTGCCGGGGATCTACTCTCTCTCTTTCCCAAGTTGTTATCTTCCAGTGTCTGGATTCCAAATCTCAGATAGGCTGAACTTTCCTTATCACTTCACCATTTTCCTGGAAGCTCTGGGGATGGTCACTTTTATGTATCACCTTGGCCAGGCTAGTTCTTGGTTATTTACAAATGTTAGTGTGGGTGCTGCTGTGAAGGTAGGTATTTTGGAGATATGGTCAAGCGTGTCATCAATAGGCTCTTGTAAGGGAGCTTTTCCTAGATAATCTGTGTGGTCCTTAAGAATAGTGGAGCAGAGCAGAGGCTCCCCTGGGAAGAAGAGACCCCACTGGTGGACATGCAGCTTTGGCTCCAGCTGAGTTCCAGCCCGCCCTTCTTGTTGGTTTGTACTGTAGATCCAGACTGGCCTTGCCAGCTCCCACAGCCTGCACATGCCAATTCCTGGCAATAAATGTCGTATACATCAGATCTTCCTGATTCTGTCTTTCTGCTTGAACTGTGACTAACATACCTTTCAGTGGGAGCTTGAATACAGGATATCACAAATGGCAATTAAATGTGGCATTTTCTGCTGAAGCATAAATTCTAAGGCTCCCATAGCAACTAATGTGGTGATTAGAGGGCTGAAGCACAATGCTGATGGAAGGAAGTAGAGAAGTCTGTGGCTTTAGAGTTCTCCTCGGCCCCTTTTCTTGTCTCCACCATGGTTTCAAGCTCTGGCACAGAGATCTCTGTGATTTCAAAGGATATTTCAGTAATGCTTTCAAATATCAGGAGCCAATCTCTCATACAAATGTTTTTATTTAGTTCTCAGGTGGTGACATCCCATGAGCTGGAATGTCCCTCAGGGAAATTACATCTGTATTACTTACTGGGGCATGTGTTCGATAATTTCCGGTACTAACAAGTGCTCTGAGGTGATATGGCTGAATGCCTGGAGTGCTGAGAGTCTTTCTGGGGAGATCTCTCTGAGGATGTGACATCTGAGTTAAGATCTGAATGATAATAGCAGTGAGAAGAAATGTTCAACTGTCCCTAAGAGAGAAGTACAGTGTGGCTCAAGTGTAATGGACAAGACAGACTCGATTTCCTGAGGAGAGAATCATATGAAAAGTGTCAGCCATGTCAGTGATAGGATCCACACCTTAGAAACGCCACAGGTTTAAGTAGCAAGGCTGGACAGGGACTCCAAGGGCCACAGCAGATTAGGTGAAAGAGTTCCCGGTTTGGATCGGAATTGTGGTGGCCGTACTGAGAAAGGAGAGTAGGGCGTGGTAAAGCTGGCTGGGGGAAGTAGGTGTGATCTGTTAATTACAAGACTTCTTTAGGTTCTCAATAGCATGGCCTAGACCTGATCTCAGCCTGAGGCCTGGGATCCCAGCACCACCTTTCAGGAGCCATATGTAGAAGTTTTCTCATGCATCTTCAAGATCCTCAAGGACAGCATAATTTGCTATCGTGGATTTTCCTCATAATAGCTCACTCTGTTTTCTCCAGTGTTCCCTTATCTCGCTTTTTCCTCTTTTACTCAGCCCAAGCTCACTTTGCAGAGCCAGATTCTCCCCAACTCTACACTTTTACTTTCTCAAATACGCTTTGCCAATACTTTTAGCTTGTTTCATTCAATTCTTTGTTTGAGAGAAGAACCTGGAGTCTAACTCCAGAAGGAGAGATGAGCAACCCAGAACCCAGTAACGTTTAGTTAGGGAGCCACTTTTAGAAGCAGGCTACCCGTTAACAGCACTAGCTTGAGCATCTAAGTGGCTGGATCAGAGATTCATACTGAGGACTGAGTTACTGCGACTCACCCACAGAATTCTGGGAGAAACCGTATGTTCACAGCTTGGTTAGACCAGGCTGAAAACAAATGCCTTTTTTCTTTGAAACTTTAAACTTTTTAGGTTTATCCAGTTTAATCCTATCATTTAGTCAACAAATATTTACAGAATAGTAACTGTAGTAGGCACTAAGCATACCATATAATCCCAGCACCATGATATTTATAGGAGAATAAAATGGTCATTTTACAAAACTAAACACAACAACAAAGTATTGGGCAGTCCCTTCCCCTTCCCACAGTGCTGAGGATTGAGTCCAGGGACACTCTACCACTGAGCTTCATCCCCAGCCCTTTTAAATTTTATTTTGAGATAAGGTCTCCATAAGTTATCCAGTCTGGCCCTGAACTTGTGATCCTTCTAAGTACCTGGGATTATAGGTAAGCACCGCTGCACCTGGTTAGAGGCAGTAAGTCTTATGAAAGAAAAATCAAGATGCTGTGGAAACATATGGAAGCATACCTGGCAACTCTTATTTGGACTGGCAGCTGTGGCACAGACTGCCAGCTGCCCCCAAATTCCTCTCTTCCTTCTCGTTCACCAGAATGGAATCCCTCATTGTTACCTGGGCACTAGGTTGCCTAAAATAAAAATGTATAGCTAGATATTGCCCGTGACTCACTTCCACCAACAGGATGCAAGATGAAGTGATGTGGGTCCTGTCTTTAGAAGGAATTACTGGTCCCTCCTGGTCCTCTTTCTGTTTTTCTTGCTGGCTGGAACATGAGTGGGTTCGCCAGGCCCATGGTACTTTCAGAGGATGATCTAGGGATGATGAAACAGGACAGAAGTATGGAGCCCTCTGTGTAGTACTACCACAATGTGGCCAGCACTTCACATCGGAGAAAAGTAAAGGCTTATCCTGTTTTATCCATTGTTCATTTAAATCTGTTAGGCAGCTGAATCTATATCCTAACTAATATGGGGGTGAGAGAGACATCTTTGAGGAAGTAATGTTTAGATGCTGACCTGAAGTCTGAGCAGGAATTAGCACATTGCAGAAGTTTGGAAATGGGTGTGACTAAAGAATGGAGGTAAGTCCCAGCTGCCAAGTACAAGGCAGAGTGCTAAGAGGTGGGGCAGGCAGGCAGGGGCTGGAGTACTGAGTCTTACTGGGTCACATCTGGGAGCGTGGATCTTCTTGTTTATGGACTTACTGCTCCTCTTTTCATTTCTGTTTGCCCTTTTATGCCCAATTTCTTTATGCAGATAATGTAAGGTAGGAAGTGTGGTGTCAGACAATAAGCACAAGGTTAAGGGTCAAGGAATCTGGGCTCTGGTCCCAGCTTTATTATTCAGCATGGTGTGATCTTTTCTCTCATGTTAAATGGAAAAAAACCCTTCTTGTTAACAAGCAAGAAGTGTCTCAAAGATAATAATGACAGCTAACAGCCTTAGTGAGCTCTTACTACCTACCAGGTTTTACATGAGTTTATGAGGAATCCATGAGGTTTATGAGGAAGCTGAGGTATATGGAGGATGACACTCATCCAAAGTCTCAGAACTGATAAGTTCTGGGACTCAGGCACTCACAGAACTCTGGCCCCAAGTTCTGTGCTCTTAGCTCCTCTTGCTATATGCCGTCACTCACACATTTTTGCATGCAACGTTTGGGAAAACAGTATCATGATATAAAGCATCACTATAGTACAAAATAATGAAATTACACACATATGTGAAAGCAAGATCAATCTGTCCATTGAGAGCAGAAAAATATTCCTCTGAGTTCTATTCTATGATTCTCTTAGGTAATAAAACCAGGGGTAGCATGACGCCTAGTTTCTTAATAGTAATTGAAGAGCTTCCCGGACAAGTGCTGCAGACTCAACAAATAAAATCAAATTACTTCCCTTATCCCTCTTTTGCCAACACTGAAAGCAGCTCCAGTGTAACATTAACAGAGCCACCACTGATGGTGCTTTGTCATGCTCAGTCCCATATCATGGGCGGACCAAGAAAGAAATTGATTGATAAGCATACACAGGTAATCAGGTGAACGCAGCATGTTTTGGAAGAGGCTGGCAGAGGGAGGAGTTTGCACGAGGGGCTGAGGCCTGGGTTCTGGTCTGGCTTGCTCTTCCCTTAGTCTTAGTTCCTGCATCTCTGAAACAGGCTGGAGGCCTCTCAGCTGTGGTTTTTCTTTCCCACAGTAGATACTTAGTAAATACTTGTTTTTTGTTTTTTTGGTTTTTTTGGTACCGGGGATCAAACTCAGGCCCTTGTGCTTGTGAGGTGTAAATACTTGTTTACACTGTGAGAAAGCAACACTTATAAATTTACCTAGTATCTGTGAAATGGGAATGATTACTTTTCCTTAAAAAAAAAAAGAAAGAAAAAAATATATATCTGACTGCATTAAAGCCACTTTGATGATGAGAAAGGACCAGGCCTTAAACCCACATATCCTGGGTCTTGCTGCTCTGAGTATCAGCAGTAACAACAGCCACCCTTTAACTAAGCACTTTCTGTGCTATTTACTTGGTGTAGTAGGGTTCTCCAGAGAAACAAAACCAACAGGATACACCAATTATCTATAAAGAAATTCATTATCGATAAAGAAATGTGTGATTTATGTGACCACAGAGGCTGAAGTGTCCCAAGAACTACCATCTGCAAGCTTGTGATACAAAACAAATTCTAAGATGCCTTAAATTTTTTTTTTGGTACTGGAGATCAAACTTGGGACCTTGTGCTTGCCAGGCATGTGCAGTGCCAATGAGCTACATCCCTGGCCTGGAGATGCCTTAAATTTAATTAGAAAGACCAGAGGTTGGATGGGGAAAAAGATAATTAAAGTTAATCAGTTAATATCTACTGGCTCAAATCAACAAACTATTCTACATTCCTAAATGTTAAAATTTTGCCTTAAAAGCCCTAGGGTTGACTTCCAGGTGCTGCTATGGTCTCCTGTATATGTATAAATTTTCTATACTACTAACTCCAACCAACCCAGCAGCAAAAAGTATTTCTCTTTATGGAATGTCCTCCTATTTCAAAACTTTCCCATTTCCTGTTATCCTGCTCCTCCTATTTACAGCCAATGTAGGTCAATGTAAACAATTTATGCTTTCCTTCCCCCAAATTTTCATTATAAAAATGCTCTTCGCTTTTAGGTCTGGCAGACATTTTTCCAACTGTTATCTAGCCTTGCTGCTGGTACCTGCAGAACTTCCTCTAGGAACTGCCCTTTTTGGCCAACATTAGTAAAAGCTCCATACCCTTTAATTCAGAGAATCCTTGATCTCAAAATTTTTGGTTTAACAATAGAGACCCAGGAAAGGTAGTGGTATAGTATGAAGGGCTGGGGCCTGACAGTGTACATTCCAGTTCAAGTCTGAAGAACTGTGAACCAGGAGCACCAAGTGCAGGTAAGGGGCAGAGCATTGGAATTTTTTCCTCCTCCTCCACCTTTCTGTTCCACTCAGTCCTTCAGGGGACTCGATTATGCCTACCCACTTTAGGGAGGGCCATTCACTTTACTGCTTATGGATTCAAATGCTAATCTTTTCTGAAAACACCCTCACACATACCCTGAAACATTTAACTATGTATCTGGGCATCCAATGATCCACTGAAGCTAACACAAAACATTGACTATCCACTGGGCTAAGCATTTTATGTGGAAGACTGCAATTCTCATTCAAGCCTGCAAGGTAGGTACTATCATTCTTACAAGATGGGAAAGCAAGGCTCTTGTAGGTGGGAAACTTGCTCAAGGTCATGTAGCATTGTAAGCAGCAGCGACAGAATCTGAATTCAAGACTGAAGCCCATGCTCATTCTCCTAACCACTCATTACCATCTCTCTACCTTTAAGATAAATTCTGTGCTAAAGACTGAGCCAGTGGTAATCAATTAGTCCCTAAGTTCCCTGGAAATCAGTATTGTTTTCTCCTCTCTCTTTTTTCTTTTTGGAGACAGGGTTTTGCTATGTAGTCTAGATTGGCCTGGAACTTGGGATCCTCCTGCCTCAGCCTCCCAAGTGCTGAGATTACAGGCATGTGGCACCATGCCTAGCATGTACAGTATTTTTTTTTTTGATACAGGCATCCACTACCACTGTCTGTCATATATTTTCTTGACCATCAAAACTGTGGCTGGGCCATTTGCTTATACTTGCTATTCTAATTCACATCATGAACAGGAACTCAACATTAGGAACTGAGGGCACAACAAAAGGCTTTTCCTTTCTTAGCAAAGCAGTATATACTCATTCAGACTGACAAACTACAAAAAAGCACAGTGCCTTAAAAAATTAAAAATAGCATTAATCATAGGATCCAGCTGTTCCACTTCTAGATATATAACCCAAATAACTGAAAGTAGAGACTTGAAGAGATATTTGTACACTCGGGTTTTGCAGCAGCAATATTTACAATAGCTAAAATGTGTAAGCAAACCAAATATTCATTGACAAATAATTCACCGGTATTATTCAGCCAAGGATGGAAATCCTTACACATGAACAGTGCTCTAAGATTCCATTCATATATAGTTTCTAGAGTAGTCAATTCATAGAGATGGAAAGTAGAAATGTGGCTGCCAGTCTGTGTGGGGGGAGGAAGGAGGAGGGCAGAGGAGTTATACTGAGTAGGTTTTTTTTTTTTGCAAGACAAAAAATGCTAAAGAGATGGATGGTAATACATGTGAATGTACTTATGTTACTGAGCTATACACTTAAAGTGTGAGAAAAATGGTAAATGTTGTGCTCTATATTTTTTTACAATAGAAAGTATAAAGAAATAGGGAAGAAGTGACTCATGATGTCTCAACGACATATTTGTATGGTGCTTTGAGTCTTTTCCCCCAAATCTTAACCTTTTGATAGGTATACATTATGAGTGTATATTTTGCAGTTGTGGGACTTGCTAAGGCTATTTTAAGCCATTCCATCAGATGTGGAGCCTTGATGTATAAGTACTTTAATTTCTATGATATGGACCTCACAGAAACCATCATGAGGACTCAGGGTCTCCTGATTCTATATCCTACTGATGAAAGATCACTTGAGAAGAGATCAGCGGACTTCTGCTTCTGACCACTAGGGGCAGTTCATTTTGATTTTAGAATCAAACATCCGACCCACTACTTTTACACAGAAAATGATGGGAAACCACAGATCTCATTCTCAGAAAGCTGATGTTTTCTCTAATTAATGACCTTCTTTCTAAATAACAGTCTTTACAACAAGCTCAAAATTGGTAGTCCGTAGGATAACCTGACTAGTAGATCCGATTTCAATGGTACAGGCTTTATAGATCAAATTATTTTTAGCAAACATGCAGAACTCCAGCTTCCCTTAAAATGGATCTGACAACCCCGGAGCAGTACCTTCACTTGACCACAGTTGATGGCAGCTGAGGCATACACATTCTTTTCTGTATCACAGCCTCTCTTCAATTACTTTCTCAAAACAAGCTCAGGCTTTTTATTTAGACTACTGTACTCCTCGCATCTAAAGCACTTAAGATCTCCAGGTCTACTTAAAAAGAACTCTTAGAGCCTCAAAAGGCCGGTCTTGGTCTTCACGAGCATCTGCCAGGATTCGCTGACCTTCGAACCGGGACTGGCAGCGGACCCCGGGCGCTGGCTTCACTTTGTCACTTATCTCTAGAGTCCTGCACGTCCGCGAGCCTGTGTCTGCATCAGTACAGTGGGCAGGGACACCTACCTCTCGGGAATGACGAGGCCCCACAGGGCTAAGGGGTGGGACCCTGCCCTTCACGATGCTCCGCAACGACAAGGGGCAGAATCTCGCAGTCCCAGCAAACAAGCTTCAGAGGGGATGACAACAGAATTGGAGCCCACCTCTCAGGCAAAATGCGGAACTACGCACAGCGCCCTGCCCCAGGAAGCTCAGCACCTCTGCCCGGGTCGCGAACTCACAAGCCTTGGTGGGCGATCACGCTTGCGCACCGACATCCACACGCCGGAAGGAACCGGGTTAGGTGGATCGAACCACTGTGTGAAGTGGGGGGGGACTTGGAGGGAGTGAGGAAGTGATAGAAGTTGAAGGGGGAAAAAAGAAAAAGCCAGGATAGGTCCTTTAAGATGGTCAGGACTCTTCAATATCACGGCTATGTAATCCAGCAGAGGCACTAGGGTTGACATCGACTCAGCACCGAGATTCTTAGTAGTCTCCTATACCTTCCGCTAATACGGATTGGTCCGGAAGGTAGAGGGTGAAATTTGCGCAGGCGCAGTGTGGGCGGCAATATGGCATCCCGGGCTAAACGGAGCGCTATGGGGAGTGGGATCCTGCGGCCGCAGGGAGCCCAGGTCCATTGCAAAGAGGAAGAGGAGGAAGATGAAATAGAAGACGAGGACGAAGACGATGAAGACAGTGACGAAGAAGAGGACGAAGACGACGAAATCGTTGACGAGGTGAAAATCACATGCTACCCATTTTGGTTTATACCTGAAAATACTTTCTGGTAGTATAACAGCAGAATGATGATCCCGTGAGCTGCGTGGGGTGGTGACTTCTTTGTTTCTGAAGGTTGGTAAGCAGAACCTGGAGATGATAAACCCTTAAAATTTGAGTCTTTTCCATACCTCAGGCACAATAATTATTTTGTGACAGCCCCCTTCCCGGTTACGTTCCCCTCCAAGCCCGCCACCACACACTCAAGTTTTGAAATGACTATTAAATCCCCATATCTTTAATAGGCCAACAGGGGCCTGCAAAGTTTATCTTCTCCCCACCCCTGCAACAATTCTCGGCCTCTTAAAAAAACAAAAATTCTCCGCCTCCTAAAGTTTGCGTGCTTAATTCACGTCCGTCTTTCATTCCTTTCTTCTTTTTTTTTATTAGTGCATATTAGTTATACAGACTGTTAAGTTTCATTTTGTTATATTCATATATATATATAACATACTCGCACATGCTTGTAATCCGAGCTACTCGGGAGGCTGAGGCCAGAGGATTGCAAGTTCAAGGCCACCCTGGGCAATTTAGGGAGACTGTATACCAGAATACAGTAGGGTTGGGGATATAGCTCTGCACTCTCTGAGTTCAGTCCTCAGTTCCACCATCACCCAAAACAGTCAAAAAACCCTTCAATAAACAACCCAGAGTAGGATACTTACTTCATTTTCCTGAAGGCTTTCTGCTGTTCTGTAGAGTCTTTTCAAATGATTTTCATCCTGCAAAGCTTTTCTTTCCTTGTTTAGATCATAGATAAGCTATATTTTCTGCCTCCCTGGAACAGTTGACATAGTTAGATAGTTTGATTTTATGGACTCATAGAACTGGGTTCTGCTCTTCCGAATAGTTACTTTTTCTTGCCAGAGCAGTGCCTGGCACTATAGGCCCTTATTTGCTGAATGAATAATTAAGACTGAGTGATCCTTAAGGCTATTGAAAATATCTTAAGTAAATGCCTCAAACTTAATTGACCAAAGCAGAATTTGTAATTCATGTTTCTCCTAATCGTCACCATTTCTATAAATGGTTCCCAGTTTACTAGCTGTTCAGACCCCAAACCCGTGAGTTAACTTTAATCTTAATCTCCCCATTTTCTTCTTCCCACATCCAGTTCATAAGTAAATCTTGTTAGGTTTACCTTCAGTATCCAGACGTTCTCTTCGATTCTGCAACCATTGTACTCCACAACTCTTATTATCTCTTGCCTATACTACTTGAGTAGCTTTTAACTAGTTTGCCTTTTCCATTCTTGTCCCTCTATAATCTGTATTTATGACCAGAGATCTTGTAGGTCTATTCTCACTCCTGCTCAGAATGCCCCGTGGGCTTCCTATTTAATTTAATTTAATTTATTTTTTTCTTCTATTTTATTTTTAAGAAGAGCCTACATCCTTTTGGTTGAGGGACAAAAAGGTACCTAGAGAGCTGGGTGTGGTGGTGCAGGCCTGTAATCCAAGTACTCAGGAGGCTGAGGCAGGAGGACCACTGCGAGTTTGAGGCCAGCCTGAGCTACATGGTGAGTTCAGGGCCAGCCTGAACTACAAAGGGAGACCCTGCCTTAAAAAAACAAAAAACCCCCAAAAAACAAATGTAGTTTGAGTGGCAGGGTCAGAATAAGAGAGATGGGAAATGCAGTCGTAGAGATAAGCATGAGTCAGAGTGAGAGTGGAAGGGAAAATAGGGAGAAGTGTGGATGCAGGATTAGGGATGAAATTGTGTTGTAGGTTTATGATACTTCTTCCTGTCCAAATCAGATCTTTACTTTGGCTTCTTGCCTTGTGTGCCTTTTTGCTATTTTTCACTTAGTATATGTGCTGCCAAAGCAAGCACATCCATTTTTCACTTAGAAGAACTTTTAACTGGATGTTTTACTAATTTTAAATTATAGAAATCATTGCTTCTTGCATTAACATGAAAAATCAGACTGCTAATGACTAAAAATTTGTGTACTATAATAACCACCATTGGTAGTGTAGAGAAATAGGCACATACACTGTGAGTGGGAGTGTAAATTGGTGCAGTCTTAGTCTCTTTGGAGGATAATTTGAAAGTATCACTCATTCTCAGCTCTTTTTTTTTTTTTTTTGATACCAGGGATCAGACTCTGGACCTTGTGCTGCAAATCAGGTGTGGTGCCACTGAGCTAAATCTCCAGCCCCACAGCTCAATTTTGCTGTGTAGAAAACTATGAGAATTTAGAAATTCAAAATTAGCTTCAGATTTTTTTGATGCAAGATGGTTTATAAGTTATAAGAAAATATATTTGGCTTTTTAAAGTCCTAAAGAGCCTAATATAAAGGATTAGGTGAGGTACTTGGCTGAGCAATAAAAATAGTAGCAATCTGCAAGAATTTCAGGGAGGAGAGGTGGTGTGAGGGATAATTTCAATTGTAACTTGATTGGTTTGAGAGAAGGCTAGATTAATATACCACACTTCTGTGTGTCTGGCGGGTCATGGAGATGTGACCTTGGGGATTATGTCTGGTCCCTGGCCCTTCCTGTCTGGCCCCTTTCTCCTCTCTGCTTCCTTGCCTCCATGAAGTGAGCAGTTTTCCTCCACTGTGTCCTTCTGTCATGATGTCTCTGCCTTGGAGCCAGTGGACCATGGACCAAAACCTCTGAAACTCTAAGTCAAAATAAACTTCTCCTTTAAGTTGAAGGTGTGGTGTTTTGTCGGTGACAGGAAAGTTAACCCGTAAAGATGGGGATAGTGAAAAGATGTGAAGAAAAGGAATAGGCATGTTTAGTTAAGGCTGTTGTGATCATATAGTTAGGTCTCTGATTTGTGCTTAATAGAAACCCTGGGAGAATAGCTTCAGCAGAAAGGGGAACGTGTGATGATATGGTTACTTATATTCCTCCAGGGGCTGGAAAGCAGCTTATTTTCAGGAACAGACTGGGGCTCTGAGCCTACATTGCTACTGAGAACCTTGCAAGTCTCACAGTTTTCATCTTTGCTTTACTTTCCTCTGTTACATTCATTCAAAATATTTGTTCTTTTTCCGCTTCATGTAACAATAAAAAATGCCAGTAGCTCCTGAGATATTCATTCAAAAGGGCAAGAAGGCTAGACACTACATTCTTAATTTTAAATTCTAAATCACCTAGTGTAGGGGAGTCAGAACTGTCATATGAAACTGGATGAACAGAAGCTGTATGCAGGCGAAGGGATGTGGACAGATAATCCATTTGGAATCTGCTGGATTGGCAGTGCCGTAATAGCCTAAGGTATAGATCTGAAGCTTCTGTCTAAGGAAAAAGCACTACAAGAGCATTATTTAAAGAATTTATTTAAGCGCTCACCAGGTTTGGTCTTCTCCATGTGGTCCTGACCTGCCCTCCGTGAGCAAGAGAATTGGGACTGGTTTGGGGGTGTCCTGTCTGAGTGGGCATTGGACACCACGGTTTTCAGTACAACAAATGACACTGCTCGTCCACTGCAACTATGACAGTGAAAATTCCTTTAAAGTTAGCACCCAGTTGCTTAGGGTGGAGGAATTGACTTTTACCCTACAGAAATTTAAAAATAACAAGTAAATAGAAAAAAGAAGAATTTATTTCTAAGGAATTAATTCAAGACCTGAAACATGACAGTTAGTTGGTTTAGTTCATTCCTTTTGGAACACCCCTGTCCAAATTACTCTTTACACAATCCGATCCACTTCAGAAAGTGGGATTTGAAGTCTGAAGGCTGAACCTGATATCCAGGCCCTGGCAAGTTAACAGCAAGAGAGCACTTAAATATAAGTGTAGTCAGGATAGCAAGGCCAATGTAGGTCTGATTTCCTCTGGTGTCCTTCGACTGAGACCCAAATTCCAAAACTTGAAGTACATATATGCTATTTTATCAGAGTGCACATGCACTTATAAAGGTATGATTTGCGTGGCCAGAGACTAATCTTGTGCAGCATTTAAAAGCATCTAAAGTTCTGTTGTTGGCATGAAGTAGTAGTTTCATTTCTTTGTGAGCTGTTTCAGTAGCATTGTTTAGATGCTGTTGTTTTGCAGAGGTAGATAAGGGAGCCCAGCTACATACACCTTCTAGTCACTTGGACTAATCATATTTCCCCCTGCTTTAGGGGCTTAGCATATGCTGTTGCCTGTCCCAGGAAGCCTCTTACTTGTTTTAGTTCCCACCTTATGGCTCTTCTTTAAGGATGCTTTTCCAGACTTTGATTTTCTGTTTTTTAAGTTGTTAGAGCACTTTTTTTTAGTGGCATACACAGTTGCAGTATTACATTTATTTCCATGAGTATCTCCTTAGTGTCTGTATTCCCACTGAAGCCATAAGTATCTGTGAGCAAGATCATTCATGTCTGTATTGTTCACCATTTCATCTCAAGTGCTTGGTACCTGTTGATACTCAATAAATATTTGCTAATGGCTGGGCATGGTGACACTTCCTGTAATCTCAGCACTTGGGAGGCTGAGGCAGGAGGATTTCCATGAGTTCACGGCCAGCCTGGGCTATATAGTGAGTTTAAGCCTAGCTTGAACTATATAGTGAGACCCTG